TTGTTGCCTCTGTGAGGGGGTTGCGGGTGGTGCCGTCCTTGCTTGGGACCTCGTAAGGTGCCCGCGAGTTTCATTCGCGTTTGGTGGAGGAGTAACGGTGCAAAGATCCTCACTTCCTACGAGCTGGAGGAAGGTGCACCCCCAGATAGGGGCGAGAAAGAGACGAATGTGGTTTTTATTTGAGGAGTTCAGGCCTTCCAGACGTCAGGAATGCTGCCTGAGGATGTGGATCTGCAGGAGAGCAACTCTGTCTTCAGGGAACAACCTGGGTACCTTGGGTCTGCTTTGTGGGAAGGGCAGGGAGGAGGTGGGGAGGCAGCAGTGTTCCTGTTCATGTGTCTGTAATAGTACCCAGGAGCCAGGGAGCGGCGGGGATTTAGCAGTGGGAGGGGCTGCTGATCTTTTGTTGGTGCCTGCGTGGATGAACAATTGTACCCTCGTGCCTGTTGTGGCTGTTCCAATCTACCTTTCTGTCCCATCGCTCCCTGTGCTGATGCTGGCTTCTTGTTGCTCTTTCATGAGTTGCTAGCACCTTTTTCCAGCTTCTTTTGTGCTTATTTGGAGCCAGGTTCAAGATTCTTCTACACTGAGATACAGTCACTGGATTTCTGTGCTCTTTCTTCACTCACTGCCTCTCTGCTCTCTTGCTGTAACAGCAAGTAGAAAGAGCTAGTGAAGAAGTTTAGTTGTGAAGGCACCTGGTTGTAGGCAAAAGCTCTTCACAAACGTTGTTCTGTCATCCTGCTGAGGCAGCTTCTGAACTGAGGTCAGCCATGGACTGTGCGGTTTCCAAAGAACATGAAGTTTCTCCAGAGTTGAGTTTGTCCTGCTGACATCCAGGCTGTACTGGTCTTGTGAGCTGTGATGGCCAGAGCGTGCAGCTTTGTGCTCTGCGCTGGAAGTTTGCGGTGACTTTAACATTGATGATGTCTGCACCGCTGTGCTGTGCAGCTGCGTTGCGAGAGACAAAGCCTGGAAGGATGCAACCTCCTCTGTCTTCTCAGGATGGCAGTGTAGTTCCCTGTATTCTTTTCATGTTCCTCAAACTTTTTTCTCTGTAGCTGCAGCTCTGTGGTTGGTTGGTTGCTTCTTGGGAAGCAGAATGTGAAATACTTGTAAAGGGACCTGTTGTGGGGGTAATAGCTTCCCTGCTAGGGATTCAGACTCCTGCCTTTGAGGCCGTTACGTGAACTCATGGCTCACCCCGAGGCCTCTCCCCGGTCCAAGAGCCCCCCCTGACAATGAAGGTAGGCTCATTGTGGGGTGTGGTGTACAATGTCTATTTTAAAGCAGACTGGCTCCTTTTTCAGTTGGTGTCTACCTTCTGCCACAAAACTTCATCTTTGGAGCGGATGGAGGAGGAAGGCGGTGATGATGAGGAGGATGATGAATTGGACATCTTTGGGGGTTATGACAACTTCAAGGGCTACAACAGCAGCGTGGGCAGTGACAGCAGCTCCTGTCTGGATGAGTCCAGTGACGATGAGGTGGCAGACCGGGAAGCTGGAGAGCTTCCGACCTCTCCTGCGCACCAGCAGTCCACAGGCCGGCTCACAGAGGACAGCGGCTCCGAGCCAGGTACTGCGCTGCCTGCCTGTTCTACCTAAAGCACGTGCGTGATGGAAAGAACAAGGGCTGGGGGAGCTGAAGGGTGTATGACTGCACTTTAAGTACGCTTTGGGAGCAGCACGGGATTGAGACTGCATTTTCTGGGCTACGTGGGGGAGCTGCGGTGTGTAATGAGGGTTACCTGGGCTCAGCTCTGTCCTTGCAGTGCATCGACCCTGCCAACTGCTCACGTTTTTGTGCCTTCCTTCTCTCAGCTGTGTGCGAGATGTGTGGGATTGTGGGCACCAGGGAGGCTTTCTTCTCCAAGACCAAACGTTTCTGCAGCGTCTCCTGCTCCAGAAGCTACTCCTCAAACTCCAAGAAGGCCAGCATCCTGGCCAGACTGCAGGTGAGTCAAAACCCTTCCTTCTTCCCTGGGGATGGAACAGCATGTGCCCGTACTCAGGGGTGGGTGGTTGCTCTCTAGTTAAAGATCAGTCTGCCATTATCAGTGGCTTGTTCTTCCTGCCTGAAGTCCCCAGACAACACATGCAAGCTGAAAAGTGGCGCTCCGTAGAAGTTGAGGAAGGACACATCGATATTTTACCTGATGTTTCTTCTTGTTCCTATGAGCATTAGTAAAAATTGTAGTAACCTGAAAATCACCCCAAGGAAGAGACGCATGCCCTGCTGGCCAGTTGCAGGGCCTGGCTTCCTCTCCTCTCCTGGGCCAACTAACATTCCTGATGTCGCTTCTTTTGTAGGGGAAACCACCAACGAAGAAAGCTAAAGTTCTGCACAAGGCAGCCTGGTCAGCCAAGATTGGGGCCTTCCTCCATTCGCAGGGCACGGGGCAGCTGGCAGATGGGACACTGACAGGCCAGGATGGTGAGTATGTAGGTGAGGGGAGAGGAGATGCAGCTGCTGGAGCCACAAAAATGGGGACACGTGGAGGGCTGTAAGCTCTGCGGTCCTCTTCCTCACCTCTGGTGCACTGCCTTGTACTGGAACGATGTGTGGGATACAGGCTGGCAGGACACAGGGCATGTCTCTCTCCCTCTCTGCCGGTGCTAACGGAGCCCTGGTGGGTTCCTGCCCATCTGCTATTGCAGCCTCATCCTCACTTCTGGGGCAACTTGGACTGAAGCATAAGCTCTGTAGTCACAGTCTCATGAGAAACCGTCAAAGCTGACTTAAAGGTTAAAGAAGTTTTATTTAAGCCAAAGTCACTCACTGATCAACTTGAGGAGCAGGCAGTCGCTGCAGCTAAAGGAGTAGGAAGCTGCTGTGTTAGGGCCAAAGTGAACCCCAGGGGGGTGGCAGCAGGGATTGATCCCTGAGCAGAGCTCTGCTGGAGCAGAGCTGTAGCCTTGGATCAGAAGTGACTGTGGGATTAATATCCCAAGGCTTCACTCTGATTTTCCCAGCACTCTCTGGGAAACAAGCACTGCTGATATGACCCTGCAGTGTTGCTGCTGAGAGGCAAAGCTGTTAAGTGATGTAGTGCTGACAGGATGCAGCCTCTACCCTCCGCAGAGTGCTTGAGCCCTGGGCTGAATTTGACCCCTTTTCTTGCCCCTCCTGCCCCCATCCCCTTTCCCAAAAGCAAGTGCTAGCAAGGATTAATAATATGTTGTGCCTCTTGCGGGGGCTGGTCCCCGTGCACTCGTGGGATCTAGTTCCCCAGTAGGGAAAATGCACTGGAACGCAGAGTCCCTGTGTGCTGGGGCAGAGGGCTCTGTCCCAGCACAGACCACAGTGGTACTGCAAGCCTAGACCAGAGGTAACTGAGTGCTCTGTGCCTTCTCTAGAATTTCACCTGATTTTCTGCTCTCATGTCTGCTTATAGCACTCGTCCTGGGCTTTGACTGGGGAAAGTACCTGCAGGAGCATGGCTTCAAGGCAGCTCCTGTCAGCTGCTTCAAACACGTGAGTTCTTCTTTGCTGTGCCTTGCAGTGTGCGCGGGGCGTGTTGTATGCACGGGGCTCCCTGGTACTCCTATGACAAGTGGTGGGGAGAGGCCTGGGGAGCCGGTTATTGAGCCCCAGCTGAGGCAAGGAAAGAAGTCGGGGCTTCTCACAGCTAAAAATGGGAGTCCCGCAGAGGGACAAGGAATTTTAGAGGAGGAAGCAGAAGGGGACTTGATAGGAGCACTGCTTGGCCAGTGCTGGCTGGGGACAGAATTAGTTCTACCTGGGGGGATAGCGGAATGCTCCTGGTTGCCTTTGCAGTTTGTGTGGGTGAGCACAGCCCAGGGTGATGTGCAGGGAGGAATTCAGATTACGTGGGCCTGGCAGTAGCTGCCCCTCCAGCATGTCTGGTTCCTGTCATACTGATTTGCAGTCCTTATGGGCCAAGTAGCCAAGGCAGATACACGGAAGAATGGCAGTTCTTAGGTATTATAGCTACTGCAGGCTCTCTGTGTATGAAGACTCACTTGTTATGTTCCTTTTGAGTTGTGATCTGTGATAATAGTGACAAAACTGCCTTTTTCTTGAGGATAGGTCAGGAAGACATGGCAGTTTTATTGATGGTTAGGGATTTTGATACCATAGAGGAATGGCAGCAGCTACTTTGGTACAATAAGACAGCTGGCAGTGGAATAATTAAGTATTGCTTTACAATGCTCTGCCTTTTGGGATCCTCAGTGAACACTCCAGTGAGATGTTTAGGGCAATTCGGTTGCATTTCAGGCTGTTGGCAGATATAGGAAGGGTAAAGCCTGCAAGCCTGTGCCTAAAAGTGTAGCTGCCTAAAACATGTCTCTGAAAGCTGGAACGAGAGCCTGAGCCCTGCTCTAACTGTCAGCGACCCTCTCCCAACGTGGTTGTCTCGATCCTTCAGGTGCCGCTCTTCGATCAGTGGGATGATGTGGTGAAAGGTATGAAAGTGGAAGTGCTGAACAGTGATGCCGTGCTCCCCAGCCGTGTGTACTGGATTGCGTCCGTCATCCAGACTGTAGGTATGTCTCCAGTGTCATTCCTGGCAGCTGAGGATGGCTGACCTCTGAGGGAAGCTTTAGAGAGCCGAGTGTAGCTGGTCAAGGAAAACATCGGCTCTTTGGAGCTCTGCAGCTACTGAGAGGTTTTGGAACAGGAAATATCAGGGGGTGGGGTTGGGAGGAAACCAGCATCTGGTTCCTCTTCTGGTTGCTGGGCTCTTTGTGAGGGCGGTTCTGCCTCCAGAATGGCTGGAGAAGCTCTGATAACCTATGCAAAGCTCTGAAGGCCATGCTGTAGGGACTAAGCCTGTGATGCCCAACAGGGAGAGAATAAATTCTTGGCCTCTCATGCCTTTCTCTGGTTGTCTGCTCTGTCCTGGCAGGGTACAGGGCCCTTCTGCGATACGAGGGCTTTGAGAATGATGCTGGCCATGACTTCTGGTGCAATTTGGGCACAGTGGATATTCACCCCATTGGCTGGTGTGCCATCAACAGCAAAATCCTGGTACCACCACAAAGTGAGTATGGGGCGAGAGGGGTCAGCACGTGCCTGGGCATGGAGGACCCTTGGTTTATGCCTAGCACAGTGGGACAGGTGCTCCCACTGTATGTGGGACCACAGCTCCATTTGTGCTCTGAATTACAAGGAACAGTTAGTTCTTTGGGAAGCTGGAGATTGCTTGGACTGCACCCTCTGCATCTCCCTGTGGTTGACCCCAGGGGTGCTGGATGCAGAGCTCGTGTCAGACCTATAGACAGAGGCTAATGCAGGTGGCTGTTCCTCCTTCTGACCCACACGGTGACTAGGCTTAGCCTTTCGGGGAACTTTTTGGTCCTACATCCTGGACAGTACCTCTGGGGAACGCAATGGCTCCAGTCCCTGCCTAACTACCGGTTTGGAGAGGGACACCAGTTTAGCAGAATTCTGGCAAGCTGAGATTTGCTTGGTCTGGCTCACGTGTTTCTGCTCTAATAAAACTTCCACATCTAGATCAGTGGAGCTGGGCATCTGCTTGGCCCAGTCCCTTCTGTAACGGTAATCCTTTGCAGCCAGTTGTGGGGGCAAGCTTGCAGAACTGAGAGCAGGCACAGGTTCTGAATGTGAAGAAGGCCTCTTGATGCAAATGGACTCTCAGAGAGGAAGAAAGGTGTAGTGTGGTGCTGTAATTCCTTTGGTCATAAAGATGTGCTTTTTCCCTCTGTATGTGCAGCTATCCATGCCAAGTACACTGACTGGAGAAGTTACCTCATGAAGAAACTGGTGGGAGCCAGGACCATCCCAGTGGATTTCCACATCAAGGTAAATGTGGGAGGCTGTCGTTTTATGTGTGGAAACGAAGCCGAAGCCAAGAGAGGTGTGTGCAATGTATCTCTTCTGGTTCCGATCTGTGCACCTCCTGTGTGCCTCCTTGAAACCCGGCCAGGGGCAGCGAGTGCTTCCCCATGCTCCTCCGATACCTGTCATGATGCGGTGGGTAATGGCACAGCCTCCCTGCCCTGTCAGCACAACCATTTCTCCTTTGGGTCATAGATCAGCTTTAAAAGCTGTTGTCATGTAGTCTGCTGGAAAATACTGGGAATAAAGTTTGCCCTTTCGAAGGGAGAGGCCAATGCAGCTCCAGCCTGGCCTTTCCCTGCCCTGTTTCAGTGCCGAGGAATGGCTCCAAGAGTCAAAAACCTTTCCCTTCAGTGTTGGTAGCACAGCAGCCTGTGGGGAGTGAGAGGGGCACAGGCTCCCTCAAAGTGCATGGAGACAGCTGTGCCGTGGCCTCGGCAGCTTCACAGCTCTTCTGGTTGGTTCATGTAGCTTGTGCTGCGCTGAGGTTAGACCTTGTCGGGGGAGAAGAGGCTCTTTTATGGGTGGCAGCTTTGGAAACTGCAGATAAGGAAGATTATCCCAGAGACAGCAGGCAGGAAGGCAGGTGATGGATTTTCCCATGTGCGAGGTAATTGGTGACACCGAGCTGGAGACCTTGATGTAGTTGGTGTTTCCCTTGTTGTATCTCAGAAAAGTTGAGAGGACGTTCGTACCTGCTTGTTCCTGAGCCACAGTTTGTAGCTGAGAGCTCACGCCATGGAAGGGAAGTGGTAGAGGGAGACAGATGTCAGTATCTTTCCCCTCTTAGCATCTCGAGTCCCACCTAATGAACAGGAGGTGGAAGGGGAAGACCTTACCTTAAAAGTTCTTCTGGATTCAGGTGTAGGCTGGTTTGGGTGTCTGAGTCTGTTTTGAGCTGCGGTTCCTAGTTGCTGCACAGCATTCTGGGATCACAGTGCCAAAATAATTAGGTGTTCTGTAAACACCTTGGGGTATTTGTGGATGAGTAGGGCTAGGCTGTATCAGCAAACTGAAGGTCTCAAAAAAAATTCAGTTAGAAGGCAGCTAGTGACTCTTTTCGCCTTTGGGTCCATCTGCAGAGTAACTCTGGCATTGGAGGTGGAGTTGGCAGATAAATCATCATGTTGCTCAACCTCTGGTCAGAGTAAAAAGGTGAAAATAAGGGCCTGACCTCTTTTAAAGTCAACTGAAAATCCTGTTGTCCTTTGGGAAGCTACACCTCTAACTGCTTCCAGCCTTGAAACCCTTATGGTCTCTTTTGTGACTGAAAAAGACACGCAATTCCTCACTCAGGTCCTGGTGAAGAGAAGTGACATCTGTTTCTTACACTCAGAATGTTCACGCAGGGTGCTGGCTGAGCACTGCTCCTGGACCACGGTGGGGGGCCACAGGACAGGGGAGATTTAGGGTGCGTGTGCCCAACCGTGCTGTCATGTGTGGGGCTGGCAGCTCCCTGTCCTCAGATGAAGCCGCTCCCACGCATCCCTTCCCAGAGGTGTCTCCCAGTCAGCTTTGGGCAGCGCAGGGCGTTGGGCCAGCATGTCTGTGGGGAAAGCTATTCTCTGAAGTGTTTGGAGAAGGAAAATACCATGTGCAATTGATCTCACCTACTCTGTTGGTTGTTGCCAGATGGCGGAGAGCATGAAGTACCCATTCCGGCAGGGCATGCGGGTGGAGGTGGTGGATAAGAACCGTGTGTCCCAGACGCGCATGGCAGTGGTGGACACGGTGATTGGGGGCAGACTGAGACTCCTCTATGAGGATGGCGACAGCGATGATGACTTCTGGTGCCACATGTGGAGTCCCCTCATCCATCCTGTGGGCTGGTCACAGAGAGTGGGCCACAGCATGAAGAAGACAGGTAGGGATCAGGCCACGGCAAGCATCTTCTGATTTGCTATGAGCTCCCCGGACCCTGCCGTTGACACCAGTCTTGACGTGCTGGGAGCCAGGCAGTTGCCTCAGGACCTGACAGATAAAGTCTATGTAGTCGTGTGTCTGCTACTTTTCCCCTTGGATAGCTAAAAGCCCAGTGATCTGCTGCCACAGGTCAGGACAAGGGGGACTGTAGGGTTTCTTACCCGAAGCAGGTAGTCTGTCCCCACAGTGAGAATGCAGAGTTTGCAACATCACAGATGTTTATAGTCTTTTTGAGAAAATTCATGCTGGCTTCTGTAAGACTGGATGCCATCAGGTTGTGTTTTTCTGGACTTCACAGAGAAGAATTGTTGATCAGCTTAGACTGGCAGAAAAAAACCAAAACTTGAGCTCTGCTGATCCTTTTGGTTGTGTCTTCCTTCCTTGCTGCTTCTCCCTGGTGATTACAGCTGCATGTAAAGGTGTTATCACTAGTGCTCAGGAAGCTCAGCCATCTGCTCTTGAGCAAGCCCTGCATCACAGCCCATGTTAGGAGAAGGTGTAGAGGGACTGACCTGTTCTTTTTATTACTCTTCTCATGGTCTCTGATCTAGGTCTTTTATAGCAGCTGAGCTCTCACCAGGGAGTTAATAACCAACGTTGTTTTCTTACTGTAGTTGCTGCAGGTTTCTTACCTCTCTTTGTTTCTTCCGTTCCTCACAGAAGAAAAACGCAGTGACATGGCAAACCATCCCACCTTCCGGAAGATTTACTGTGATACTGTCCCCTATCTGTTCAAGAAGGTAGGGCAAATCTGCTTTTCTGTGTTGGGCGCAGCAAAGGAAGCAGTGATACCGCTTCCTTCCTTGGGTATATACGCTGCTGTGTGGGTTGTTGAGGACGGCTCATTTGTCTCTCATGGCTATAGGGCAGTAAGGTGTTTAGGGTGTCAAGGCTGTGGTTGGGCAGGGGCAGGTCAAAAGAGAAAGATGGAAGAACTAAAAGACGATGATAGATTGAGGGGCTCAGTTGAAGGGGAAGCAGTTGCTTGGACCTTTGAGTTGGAGAGGGAAGATGATAGCCTGAGAGACCGGTTCAGACAAGGAGCTGGATCATACCGGTAAGGAATGAGATGAGAAGGAGGCTTGCTTTGCTGTGGAGCACCGACTGAGTGCTGGGCCTGGCTCTCTGACTGAGCAGAGCCTTGGCAAGAGGTTGTTAACACAAACATGGCGTTGGTTTGGTATTTCTTGTAATATTTCTTCTTTCCCCTCCCAACTTGAGTTGAGCCAAGCAAAGAAGCTCTAATCTTGTTTGCACTTGGCATGCTTGCTGTCAGGATGGCCCTGTCCCATACCCCTGAGAGCACGTGGTATACCGGAGTCTCCCTTAGGTACGAGCTGTCTATGCTGAAGGTGGATGGTTTGAGGAAGGCATGAAACTGGAGGCTATTGACCCCCTGAATCTGGGCAACATTTGTGTGGCCACTGTTTGCAAGGTAAGTTCAGTGGGCAGAGGGGGTCTGCTGTGTTTACCTGAGATAACCCAGCCTCTCCTCAGGTCTTTGCAAATCATAGAATCATTTAGGTTGGAAAGGACCTTTAAGCTCATCCAGTCCAACCGTTAACCTAGCACGGCCAAGTCCACCACTAGACCATGTCCCTAAGCACCACACCTACACGTCTTTTAAATATCTTCAGGGATGGAGACTCCACCACTTCCCTGGGCAGCCCATTTCAATGTTTGGCAAACCTTTTGGTGAAGAACTTCTTCCTAATATTCAATCTAAATCTTCCCTGGTGCATCTTGAGGCCATTTCCTCTTGTCCTATTGCTTGTTACTTGGGAGAAGAGACCGACCCCACCTCACTAACCCCTCCTTTCAGGTCGTTGTAGAGAGCGATCAGGTCTCCCCTCAGCCCCCTCTTCTCCAGACCAAACCCCCCCAGCTCCCTCAGCCGGTCCCCCTCCCTCCCCATCAGACTTGTGCTCCAGACCCTTCACCACCTTCGTTGCCCTTCTCTGGACTCGCTCCAGCACCTCAAGGTCCTTCTTGTAGTGAGGGGCCCAGAACTGGACACAGGATTCGAGGTGCGGCCTCACCAGTGCTGAGTACAGAGAGACAGTCACTTCCCTCGTCCTGCTGGCCACACTATTCCTGATACAGGCCAAGATGCCATTGGCTTTCTCGGCCAACCTGGGCACACTGCTGGCTCATGTTCAGCTGGCTGTTGACCAGCACCCCCAGGTGTTGAATAAGACCGACTAGGATTTTGCATGAGGAAGAGGAGAGGGCTGTCAAGAGAGGTAGGCAGCTGGTGTGTGGAGGGAATTGGAGCATTACCTCAGAGGTCTGAGAAGCTGATGAGACCATCAGTTGTCCATGGATCCCTAAGCGGACAGCATGAAGATGAACATGCTTGGTCTGCAAGCTAGCTGTCCAGTGTATGAGACTGACAGCCACCCTTCCTTCACCCTTGGGCATGCAGTAGGGAAGATTTGTCCTCCCGTTCTTGGAGTCCGTAAAGAGAGGCCTCTGTAGTGCTGCCGTGAGGAGAGTGAGGAGAAGGGAAGAATTGTGAGGGGACCTCCACGTGGGGAATGTGGTGTATCTGTATGGGCAGCATTCACAGGTATAGAAAGCTGAAGCTGGATGTGTCTCCTGCAGTTTCTCTTGACGAGGTAGTAGCGAGCTCTACTCCTGTGCTAGTGTTGAGAAGTAAATTGCTTGGCCAGGTTTCCTCAGTGAAGTGCATTGCACGTCCTAAAGCGTAGCAGCGACTTGGGCTTTTCCTGCTCCCTCAAGAAGCTGTTTGCCCTCATAGAACCCAAGGAGAGGACTTTGACAGTTGGGGTTTGGCAGGGAGATGCTAGGAAAGCTCTTTGCATGTGTAAAATGTTCCTTCCGGCCATTGCTTAGGAATGTGAAGAGGTTGGGGCAGACGTGCCTATCGCATTTGGTAGGCACTGTTTGCCAGTGAGTGACAGGATGGGACAAGTCTTGTTGCTGTAGGAAGTGGCAAGTCTGAAGGTGGTGCCTTTCCCTGCTGCCCAGTAACAAATTTGTGACTTGGGCTGCCAATAAAGTCTGTTTCTGAGGGAGGACAGAGCTCCTGACCACTTATGGCTTGGTCCTTTTCACAAGGCTGTTAGTGTTGGTCCCAGTCCTGCAGAAATTTCTGCTTTGGGGATTAGCTTGTGTTGACTAACACATCAGGAGAAGCTACTGCATGCCCTGGAGCATGTAGCATTGTCTTTTACTATCTGGTGGCAATTGTGATCCATCTGTGGGGACTCTTGGGGGGATCCTTTGAGAGGAGAGGCTTTTGAGCAAGCGAAGCTCTACACTCATACCCTTTGCTCCCATCTCAGGTCCTCTTGGACGGGTATCTCATGATCAGCATTGATGGAGCCACCTCTTCTGATGGCTCTGACTGGTTCTGCTACCATGCCTCCTCTCACGCCATCTTCCCCGTCAACTTCTGTCAGAAGAATAGCATCGAACTGACCCCTCCAAAAGGTGAGATCTGGACTCTGCCCTGTGGTACAAACCTGCATTCAGAATCTGCTGCGCGGTGCTTTTCTGAGAGGTGTCACATTCAGTTGAATCAAAACCACAGGGTCCCAATCTGCCTGTTTTTCAGGGGGATAGGGCTGGTTCAGAGAGCCAGACTATTTGAGCTCTGCCCATACGCCAAGTGGAAAGAAGTAACATCTCCAGAGGGCATTAATTGCATGGTGGTTAGCTCCTGGCAGATCAGTGAGAGAGGTGTATGATCCCCAAACCGAGCAGAATCAAGGGTTTAAAGGACAAGGAGGGTGGGAAAAGATAAATAGAGCCATTGCTGCATGACTCGGTACTTAAAAGTGGCAGGAGTCACCTCTGTTCTTGTATGAATAAATCTGAGACAGTATTTCTGCAAAATCCCGAGAGGCAATCACCCTAGGTGTGTTTTTACTGCCTTGTCTGGCCATACCCAAAAAGGCCTGCTCTGAATTTCTTCATTGCAGCACTTTTGTGCAGTGCTATTCTGTCTTCCTTTGATGTTCCTGCCGGTGGGAGAAAGATTGGTCTTAATGGTGTGTCTTGAACATACTTCTTCCTGCCTGCTGCTTCTTGTCACCTTTCTCTGTGGTCTGGGTAGACGGAAGATGGATGTTCAGAGTTGCAGCTTGCACTTTTCTGTATTTGCCCGCTGGAGGGTGGTGCTGGACTGCCATGGAATCTGTGCACTCAATTTCTGTCCTAGATCAGGCTGGATGTGCTGGTTCATCAAACTGCTTTGCAACCAGTTGCTGTGCCTCCTTCCTGCCTATTCTGCTTTTTCCCCCAGCTCGTCTATGCAGTTGACTGCCTTTTTTTTCCTCTCTTACCGTTTCTTCCTGCTGCAGGGCAAGATGCAAAGACCTTCCACTGGGAAAGTTACCTGGAAAAGACTAAATCAAGAGCTGTTCCAGCACGGCTCTTCAACACAGTAAGTGCTGCCAGGAAGAAAATATGTGTAGGGATGCTTGCAGTCAGCAAGGAGGAGTGCAAGAGCTCAGGCTGCCACAGAATGGTTGAGGTGGAAGGGACCTCTGGAGGTCATCTTGTCCCCCCTGCTCAATCAGGGTCACCTATAGCAGGTTGCCCAGGACCATGTCCACATGGCTTTTGAATATCTCCGTGGATGGAGACTCTACAGCCTCTCTGGGCAGCCTGTGCCAGTGCTCAGTCACCCTCAAAGTACAGAAGTTCTTCCTCATGTTCAGGTGGAAATTCCTGCGTTTCAGT